AATTACCCAAAAGAAAAAAAGGGGAGGAAAAAATAAAAATCAGCCTTTCAAACTAAAATCCAAATAAAATCCAATAAGAAGGAAAAGAAAAGAGAGAGAGAAAAAAAGAAATAATTAAATAAAAAAAGTCCATTCCGTTTTTTTTAAAAGTACAAAAAACAAAGAAAAATCCTTCAAGAAATAAAAAAAGTTAAACAGAAAGGGAAAGTAATCCTCCTAAAATCCAAACCCAACATCATTATAAATAATCAAATCCATTCCATTCCGTTCCAGTCGAAAAAGAAAAAAACACCAAAAAGCCTACCGATCGCCATTTTACTTTCCCTTTCAACAAAAGAAAAAAACAAAAAGAGGGAATAAAAGTAAATCTTTAAATTTAAAATCCAAATAAGATCAGAAAAAAACAAAATCCTCTACTCAGGTCTGTCCGCTTTTTTTAAGAAAACTCACCAGATCACTTTAATCGCGGAGGTGGTTGCGGCGGCTTGTTTTGTCCCTAGAGACAAAAACAGCTGGGAAGCGGAGACAATCCGAACTCCATGGGAGCACTCTTTTCACCCCCCAAAAGAAAACCTTGGGGTGCATAAGAGGCTCTACCACTATTCGGATGATACTCTTCTCCCTCCCTTTGCCCGGGAGGGAGATTCTGAACCGCAGAACAGCTAACGTCTGCTGTTCATAGTGGTTCTAACACTTACCCAGGAGGACAGCTACAAAGTAGCCGCCATCGCGCGCGCAGATCCACCGGAAGTCCTCTTTTTTATACATTATAATTTCCCTAAATTCAGACATGTTTAATTATCTAAGACATTTCCTTCATCTAGGCCATTTCAGCAGTATTATATTACTTATATCAAGAAATAAAATAAAAGGGGGGGAAAGCATACAGTATTATTTAAAGAATTCATCTCTCTTAGAATGACATATGTATTCAGAATCTTTTCTGTTTCTTTAACCATATTCAAACAAATGTTTCTTTTTTAAATATTCTCTCTGGTAGATCCCATCATCTATTTTCTTAATTTTCACTTTGATCTTTTTCCTTTGATCAGTATCTTTCTTAATCAATGTGATTTGCTGAATCAAAAAGTTTTTCCATATATTCATATCTGCTGCTATAGGTATAAGAAGTAAATTGAATGTTTCTTTTTTTTGTAAATGTAATGTCCTTAATTTATATAGCTTACTGTTTTCTACTATTTAATTGCTTTTCCTGAAAAAGAATAAAGTGATGGGCGATGTAGAAAAATGGGATTTTTGTATGCTTTGTCCTGTTAGTGCTTATTTCTGTAAAAAAAAATAGGGCTGGCCACTAGGGGGCAGATTGGTTTTAAATTCAGAGAACAGCTACCCGTATATTGCAGCGTATAAGACGACCCCCGACTTTTAAGATTTTCAGGGTTTAGAAAGTCGTCTTATACGCCGGAAAATACGGTATATATGTAAACAGTCTCTTTCACACTGCAATGATGAGAACTGCTCCTGACTCTAACTTTGCATAATTATTACCTTTACAAGATAACGACATTCAGTTCAAGTATTTTAAAGGAGCTACAGTTTGATCAGTTAATATTGGATGAACATGGCATTTCACATCAGCCTATAATAGTAATAATTGTCTGTTGACTCCACCATAATGATCAAGTCTTTTGACATCTCACTTATTCTTGCTTGCAGCATGTGACCTCCTTCAGTCAGTCTAATGAATAATAGGCTACCATTTGGGGTTTTAGCAAGTTCAACACCTTCCATCTTCATTTTTCTTCATTGACTTCCCACTGTCTTTTTGCAGCTTTGGATATTTATATGAATTACTGCATTTATCACTTAGGCATCATTCTTTTTCTTTGTTCACACATCTTCTCAAATTATTAATAGCACTGCTTTGACATCATTAATTTTACTCCTATAAATGTTTCCCAACTGCTATTAAATAGGGATGCATCAGAGAATGGGGGAAAAATCTTTCACGTGAGAGTGGAAGAAGACAAAAAACAAAATAGGATCAGAACTTTAAAACTCAGCTTCCTAAGACAACATTTTTGCTACTTAAAGAGAATTTTTTAATATATCATAGTTTAAAAGATATCAGTGAAACATATATAAGAAACAGCAGGGAAGAAAGGTAGTTATGATAATTGGACAAAGCTTTACCACTTCTTTCATGATTATGTCAGAAAATTATAAGGCTTAATTTTCAATCTTGTGTTCAAATTGCATAAGAAATAACCTTATGAAATCTAGAGATGTTTTGTTAAGTATATATTTATACACATAGACAATTTTCCCACTACATTCAAATGTGGCTTATTCAACAGCATCATTTTTTTTCATTTTATTCTGTAGGAAAACTATATTTATTAACCTATGTACAACCAAATGTCCATAGCAGCTTCCAACCTGGAAATGAACATCTCTGTTTAATATATCTAGAACCTACATCGTGCTAAGGTTTCAGGAGTATTACATACAGTACATGCTTTCCAAATGGCCTAAAGAAGGGGATACAAATCTCATTCTCCCCTCCAAAAATGTTAAAACACAAGTCATCATATAGTTGAAAAACTGGTAGGTTGAAGCATCATTATCAATTTCACCAAGGATATTTGAGGGGCTTTGCTCACCATATTTTTTTTCTCATTATCAGTTTAAAGTAGGAATTAACATTTAAATATCTTAAAATATATATTAATCTCAATGTAGTCTTCATTTTGATAACATTAACCTTGCCCAAAGATTTAATGGGACTTTTAACTATCAAATTATATTTACTGAAATTATATTTATACATATATTGAATTTAGCATTTTGTGATATAATTAAAAAAAGATATAAATCCAAATATTTTATGCAGCCTGTACAAATGGTAAATCCTAATCTCTTACAGTAATTCATAGAGAAGCTGCCAAAGGCAGGAAATTAGCCTTGTTCCAGTTAATTGTATAACCAGAGTATTAACCATATTGCTATAGTACTTCAATAAGGTTTTGGTAATGACACTGCATAATTACCAAGGATATCATCAGCATGTAAGAACAACTTATATTCATTGTCAAATACCCTCCGTATCTTGAAAATAGCTATCCAAAGAAGCCAATAGTTCAGGAAACAAATTGAAAATTAATAAACAAAAAGCATCCTTACAGATGCTACAGTATAATTTGAAAGTCTGAAACAATTCTATTCTTAATAACCCCTAGCCATAGGGTAAAGATACCCAACTATAATCCAATAAATGACGAAAAACTTTAGCCTTTAATTTGATTTGTACCATATCAAAGGCCTTCCTTCAATAGGAAAGGAAGAAAATTAGAACAGTTAATTCCATTTGCTACAATATCTATAATATTAATCACCAGGTGGATGTTGTCAGGTTGTCTATTTTTTTTAATAAATCCAGATTGATGTGGCCGAATTATACATATTACTTTATATAGTCTCCTGGATAGGGAGACTGTATTAGCATTCGCATCAAGCAAAGGTATTAAACTAGTTTGTGTATCTTGTGGGACTATAAAATGGTAAACAAAAAATAAAACGATTAAATGATTACAGATCTCTATGTAGGTGCCAATAAGTCTGTATTTATTTGGAAGTCCATCTGATTCAAGGACTTTCCCTAGCTGAAATTTTGTGATTTCTTGTAATGTCAACAGCTATATTTATTTAATTTTATCATCCCAAGAAATCTCTTCAGTACTTCACAGGAAATTGATAACTTGTGGTGCAGTTACCAGAATCCTAGTAGATATAAATATTATAAATATCATAACATAGATTCTGTTTTGTTAAGTAACTGTCCATCATCAGCCTGAATTGCAGGGATAAAACTTTCTCAGTTCTGGTTGTTTCAAGTGATAAGCCAGTGACTTTCTAGCTTTCCCTTATGATTCCTAATATTTTTTGTCAATGAATTTCAAAGAATATTCAAATTGTTCCTGAGTGCATTAACTCCAGTTTCTGCTTTGTTATACTATGTGCTTGATGTGGTCTATTGAATTCTCGTAAATGAATAAAACTTTAATTTTTTAAAAAAGTCCTTCTTAATAAATTCTATAAAAAGAGAACTCTTAGAAGAACATATTCAAATACCATGTGAATTGGTTGAGTTATAATAGTTAAATTTCATACTTAAAAAGTCCCTAGAGCTCGGTTTGAGATTGCAATGGACTCACTGAAGAGTCTATAAATAGATAAAGTAGAAGAATATTGTTTTTTAAAAAACCTAATTTGAAACAATTTTGAAATACACGTAAAAAAGTGTATTCTCTACATTATGCATTTTAAAATATCTATTAAATTAAATTCTAATATATATGCTTGTAACTCCTTCCAAGTTTAAGAAAGTTTTTTTTTAAAGTATCTAATTTCCACAAGAGATTTTTCAATACATATAACATGTTTATGTTAGTGATGGGGGCCATATGACTCAGAGTTTAAGCCTAGCTTGTCAGCTGGAAAGCTGACAGCCTAGGGTTGAGATCCAAGTGCCGTGTAAGGGGCGAGCTCCTGTTTTTGCCCCAGCTCCCCAACTAGCAGTTTGAAAGCATGAAAATGTGAATAGATAAATACTGTAGGTACCAGTTCGGTGGGAAGGTAACAGGGTTCCATGTTTTATTCTGCACTGTGATGTCATGCTGATCACATGACCGTGGAAACATCTTCAGACAACACTGGCTCACTTGGCTAAGTAATGGATATGAGCACTGTCCCCCAGAGTTAGACACGACTGGGTAGGGGAAACCTTTACATTTACCTGTTATGTTACTCTATCAACATATTTTGAAGGAAAGGTCATAGGAATAAGCATAGCTTTTTTTCTTGGATGCATTATCTTGGGAGATCAGGTAGTAGTAGGAAAAAAGTGCTGTCTCAATGTATGTTATTTTCTGTTTTAGCAGAATCCTTGTAAATGATACTCTCATTAGTAAGGAAAAAATACATTTGCATTTAAAAAAATAAACTTAAATTCTATTAATAAAGTACTTGCATTCTTGCACTTGCAGTTGTGAACTGTTTAATACAATGCTGGAGTTTCAGGATGCAGTACAATGTAGAAACATGTAAAGTATAAGTACACATTCATTCCAAACAAAAATAAAGTTTTATTTTATTAGATTTTTTTTTTTAATCAGATCTAAAGCAGTTTTTTTAATTTGAAATTGCATTGGAAACATTAAAGTCCTGCATTACAATATTTATTTATGGTAATCAAGAAAATAAATGCCAAGAGATCTTATCCAACAATTTTAAACACAAAAATTGCATGTGAGGAAACATTCTCATTCCATATTACTGAGGACTGCAATAATTGTAGATCACTAGATCTTTATGATAAGCCAGTGATAAACATAAACATATATTAACAGCTTCAAACAGGGTTAATTATTTTTTTATCAACACTTCTTACAATTTCACTAGTGCAAGACAATATTTTTACCTGATTGAACTTGAAACACAGAATGCTGAATACAAAACTATTCTTTCTCCCCTTTTTTAAAAAGTGCGTCATATACCATACTTACACTAAAATATCTACAAGCTAGTGGAACACTGTCTGTCTCCATCTCTTGTCAGTGAGGAAAGGCCAAAGTGATTCCTTGATCCCAACTTGAAACGGAGTATGGTGACCAATGCCCAACATCAGAAGGCGGGAACAGTCAAGCTGAGCATTCTTAGGACGAGGAGCACCCAGTACTGGGCTATCTATAATCTTTAATTTAAAAGATCAATGTATTTATTGTTCAGCATAAAAAAAATCCCAAAATGCAGTTGTTTCTAAGGATCCTCTCTCTCCTATCCCCAAATCACTTTTCTCTCACACATTGTAATATTTCAATAATCATCAAGAAATCCTGAAATCTGCAAAAAGTGCAAAACAGAATCGCTAATTATCTGCCAAAATACTTCTATCCAAGTCTTAGTCACTGAATTAAAGATACATGCAGACATTAAAGTCATTTGTATCTCCTGAGAAGAAGCTTCTAAAGGTAGTCTTTGACTGTAAATTGAGCAAAAGTTACAGGTTGTCCTTGACTTACAATCATTCATTTAGGGACCATTCAAAGTTATAACAGCACTGCAAAAAGTGACTTATGACGGTTTTTCACATTTGGGATGGTTGCACCATCCTCGTGGTTATGTGATCAAAATTTGGATACATGGCAACTGGTATATATTTATGACAGTTGCAGTGTCCCAGTGATCACCTTTTGCAACCTTCTGACAAGCAAAGTTAATGGGGAAGCCAGATTCACATACAAAAGTGTTTCTAACTTAACAACTGCAGTGATTCACTTAAAAACTGTGACAAGAAAAATGGGGCAAAACTCACTTAACAACTGTCTTGCTTAGCCACAGAAATTTTGGACTCAATTGTGGTTGTAAGGTGAGTTCTACCTCTACTTTACATTTTCCCTTTATTAGGAAACTAGAGGCAGACAGAAAAGACATACAGGAATTCATTTCTAGATTTGATAAATTTGATATACTTTAAAATATTTATTTTCTAATTTTCCAGGCTCTGGGTACCTAGAATTCCTTGCACTTGCCTTCATGTAAACATTTATTAGATGAGTATTTACATAAAAGGCAACATAGAAGGACAATTCAGATAGTCACTCACCAGGCTATGAGAAACTATAATCAGAAAGCAATTTTTCATCCCTTCCACATGGCGTCTTAATTGCAGCTGAAATTTTTGAGCTACATTGTTATACGGTTATCATTTACAATTGCAGAGACAAAAATAAGCATTGCTTTCCAAAGAGCCAAATGAAGATCAAATAATTGGATTATCAATTTCAAAATGTTATCAGATAAAGAGAGCAATTGTTCTTCAAGGATAAGATTTCATAGCACTATATAAAACAAATGCCAAATATTTACCAACTACAAGTTAGCTCATTCCAATTAATTACTTACTGGTCTTAAGTGGCTGCTAGGAAGATTGAAAGCATCAGCCATAGCACGTGCCATTTCATACTTCGTCATCTGCTCATTACCAGACCAGTGGAATGTTCCCTTAATGGATGGATCCTTGGAAAATGAACAAACATACAATTTGAACTCATTTCAATTTTCTTATACTAAAAAGTTCTAGGAAGGGGTAAATAAATAACAACCTTTATAGGAGGCCACCAAAGACTAATATCAGAAGCAATATTTAATTCAATGCACTGTTTTCTTGCATTATTAGAACACTTTTTCTGCTACATAATATAATACTTACTATACTGTATTCAACTCAGCTACATGTTACTTTGTACATAATAGTGTTACTAAGAAAAAAACTTCAATGAACTGGTCTTCTCTAAAAGAATAGTTGTGGCTGTTTTACAACCGTTTTTGTTATTGTAGCAAATAAACTCTAGCAATCCAAGATGCATTAATAAGATGCATTAAAAAAAAATCTCAGTGAGCTCTCTGAATATTAAAAGTTTAGCCTTAGTTAGAATTATCTAATGTTTTAAATGCTAAATGAACACAGCTCCTTAACACCCTGCATTTAGACTGGAAGCAGGAAGCTTCATAAATATAATGAACATCAGAACGATAAGTGTACATTTAATTACAGCTATTTCTTTTTTAAAATGTTTCAAAACTGGTAAATAAATACCGAATGTATAGACATACATGGGAAGGAGGAGTTGACAAATGCAACTTTTTGATGGAGATCCTTTTTGTTTAAAATTTTGAATCATGTGGCTGTTTTTTTCTGATAAGCATAAAAAAATCTCTATAGTTATTTCATATCTTCCAACAACACTACCACTATTCTTCCACCATAGAATTTCTATTTAACTATTATCTCAATCTTAAGATTATAGTATCATATTGTATTGAAAATTTTAACCACATGTTCTTGTACAAGTATCCTACATGTTTTAAACAAAACCTAATTACATCGTTCATATTGCACTGTAATCAGATACATGTTATTATTGGTTTTAGGAAGTCTGCATGTATTTTTGAAACCTCAAATACATAAAAAAATTATTTGTAGACACTGAACAAGTGAAACAGTGCTTCAAACCTTGATATAATACATATAAGAACATTCTTACCACCATTCTCCTCTCAGCCAGCTGTTGGCAAACAATGGCTACATCCTTGGCATATGTTGGAAACCTTTGCTGCCAGTGGTCCAAATTGGCTGATTTGTTATTGAATTGCACCTTATCAAACATAATTGTCACAGCACTCTCCTCCAGCTTTTCAACTTCTCCATATAAAATAGGAATTCTAAGGATAGCAGCACCTAAGAGAAAAGAAAGAAAAGCCATAAATGTTACACAAATCAAAATATATAACCATGCAATTACCCAAAATGCTGTAAACTTCATATCAACAGAAAAAAAATATGGAAAAGGGACAGATTGAACTGGGACAAGCCAAATTATTTTATATATGGTATGTGAAAACTGCTTTAAAACTGTCAAAATTAACTCCACATAGCTTTATTTCCCATGATAACTTTGACAATAAAGTTATAAACCATAGTGCTATTATGCTTAAGGTAATAATACCTGGGAAACTACCAACATGAGTCTGCAAATTCAACAGGCTCTGCCTGCCACTCACGAAAATGGAGCATGTGCGCATGCACTCACCCGCTGTTCGAACAAGTTACATTTCTAAATTCTGTTTTCACTTGTCATTATGGAGTGCTGAGTGTAGATTAATGACAAAATCATGAATGTCAACAACTGTAGAATCAGGCTGCAGTATAACAAAATTGACAATAGTGAAGGGGGTCTGAATACTTTCCGAATGTCCTGTAAGTAAGCACATCCAAGCCAGAATTATTTACTGTGAAGGTCAATCATTGAAAAGGAAGCAAACCGGTATTTTAAAATTGTATGAGATCTTTTTATGGCCAACGGTTTAACTGTCTATATACTGCAGCTTGATTTACAAAATAGCTCAAATTTATATTCTGAAGGGGTGAAATATTTTCATAAAGCCTTGACCAATATGGGTGATTTCTAAATTTTATAAATAAAATGATTGATAATTTATAACCCATCATTCTTCCTGTTATGTAATCACCTTTCCATTCAAACAATGAAAAAAAGATGTTAGCTACTGCTTACAGATAGATTAAATACTAACCATTTTAATTTTTCTTATCTATGACAGATCAACAATCTAATGTTACTTACATTATGCTACCAAAAGTAACAATACAAAGACAGAACAGAACATAAAATCAAACCACAATAAAGTCACAATAGCAATATCCCCAGATATGGCATGGGTCTCAATCCAGCTGTCCTAATCGTTCAAGGCATCCAGAAAAGTCAAGTATTATTCAATTTCCAGAAGACCATGAGAATGGGGGCCATTCTTTGCTTGGAGGGTTAACTACTTCAAAGAAGAATAACTCCACAGAGAACGTCTGCCTCAATGCATCTCCCTCTTGTACCTCCTGATACAAGGGCACACGAGACAGGTGAATCTTTCCTTCCCTATCGCATGCTGGCCTCACTTCCTCCATGTTTTTCTTTTAGCAAACCAAAGACCAAAACAGTCATGTTGAACAAAGAAAATAGAGCACATGATTGTAAATTAAATATAAACACTAAAATACTAAGAAAAAATGATGATTCTGTGTCCCTTGTTTATTAAAGAAGAAAACTGAGAAATGTTAAGACTTGCAAGTGCTTGATAGAAACAGCAGAATGCAGTCTTTGGGGAGGAAATGTTTGTCAAAAAAAAGTGAAAATGATTCTAATTGTGTTATTCTGCTCATGTTGTTATGTAGAATTCAATGAGGGATAATTCAAGAGAAACATAAGAGTTTGTTTCAGATAATGAAACTGAAATACTTAAATATGCATAATCAAACAGGAGGAGAAATAACTGCTGAACAGCAACATATACAATTAAAATATGTCAACACAATATGGCCTGGATATTTTAGCAGCTTGAGTTCTTCTGCGGTTGCTTGCGGCCGCACGCCATGTGGCGCATTGTGTCACTGTTGCCAATCGCAGCAAGAAGCCGCATGGCTCGTCACGCCACTCGTACTGGTGCCGCCGCTCGGGCAGGACACCGCATGGCTCATTGCGCTGCTTGCATCGGTGCTGCTGCTCACTGTAGAACACTGCACGGCTTGTCTTGCCAGTGCTGCGGCTTGTGGCACACCGTGTGAAGCAGCGGCACTGGCATGATGCACTGCACAGCCTCCTGCTGCGCACCAATGCAAGCAGTGTGAAGATATGAAATAAATATAGAGATATGAGATTCTTTCTGTATGTGTGCTGGCACTTAAACTAATCAACTCATATTGATTTGGTCCTGTTCTGTTCTGACTCCATCAAATATGTGAACATAAACTTGGGGGGAAAACGTGGTAGTTAAAGATATAAAAGTGATACTGAATCAATATTCCAAAAATATGGAATTTCACACTTTATGCAGAATTAATCTTGTTAAAGACAACATTCTTTCTATGTGTCAACTAGTTCAAGAGATTGGCTCTTGAATCATTTTTCAAATCTTATTTAAAAAATGTCAAAATATATATTTGATATGGTCTAACTGTCTAAGGCCTATATTAATATTATTTGGATTTTCCCTTCCTTTCTTCTTAGCTTATTTTAACCACAATAATATATATCTTTTTATTGTAATGTTACCATTTTTTGTTGTTTTTATTGTGTCTTGCTGCTATAAAACAATAAAAGGGAGAAGGGGAAATATGTGCCCAAATATAAACTTACCTTCACTGTTTTTTAAAACTGCTCTTTCACCTTCTAGTTTGGTTCTGCCATAGAGATTTAGAGGATTTGGTATATCGTTCTCCTTGTATGGAGGGTTTGTTCCATCAAATACATAGTCTGTACTAATGTAGATTAGAAATGCTTCCACTTGAGCTAAATTTGAAAGAGATTTATCATAGTTAAATGTGTAACAAAGGGACTATTCCATCTGGCTTCCAGTTCTTCAGTAAATTATACTACTAAGAAACTTGCTGAATCATACCAAAGACCTTCTATTTAAAATAACAATCAGTAGATCCCACATTCCTCTTTTACCAAACCATGTTAATCAAACATTAACTGGCAGAAATTCTTCAACACTGGTCAAACTACCTACACTTAGAATATAGAAGATAATAATTTAACCTTATTTTTAAAAAAAAATCAATAGTTTTTACCTGCTTCTTTTGCTATGATTCCTGAAGCAGTCACATTGAGCTGAGCAGCAGCATCTGGTTGACTGTCTACAATATCTGGCCTTCTCTCAGCTGCACAATGTATTACCACATGAGGCTGGAAACCATACACACATATGAGTAAGTTCATTCAAAAAGGACCATTGAAGTTTCATTTAAATATCCTTTATCTAGCTAAAACTTTGTTATATTGCTGAGATCTACCAGAATGTATACAAAATTTATCCATCCAAAATTCCTTTGCTATTTAGCAGTTTATTTCCTTGTTCCACTCCAAGAATTTCAAAACATACATGAAGTAAAAAATTCCAGAAATATGACCTCATTTTTAATAAATTCAATTCAATTTACTACTTTTATTGAATTTATTAAATGTATGATCATTTTACCATTTTTTTTCTAGCATTTCAAAAAAGTAAAGTCCCAGTTGTTTAAAAACAGAATATTCTTGCTACATACTGAATAGGATATGCTAACATTTAGGAAAACCAGTTAAATTGTTAAGCAATTCTGAACAATATGGGAAACATTTCCTTTCCTTTAAAAATTCTTACCTGAAAATCTTGGATTATACTGTGAATAGCAGCAGAATCTAAAAGATTAACTTGTTCAAACAAAGGTCGAGCTCTACTGTAGCCACAGCCAAGAGTGTGCCAGTGATTTGCTTTAAATTCTTTATAAACAGCTCTGCCAAGGAGTCCAGTGGCACCAGTAATTAGGACACGTCTATTTGGGATATCAACATCTTCCTAAAAAAATCAAAATATGATCTATAGTCATATAAAATTATCAATGTTTTTCCAAAACTGTTGCATGCTCCTGTACATCTCTTTCCCTTATTTTTACAAATTCAATTGAACTGAAGCCACAAAATAGCAGCTTCAATAATAATCCGTGCTGTACAGAAAGTTGAAATATCAACAATAATGTACTATGTACGTTTTTCCCCCAAGTTTTTATTCACAGATTTCATGGAGTCATAACAGAACAGGATCAAATTAATGAGTCAGATTAGTTTAAGTGCTAACATACATATAGAAAGAAAATATACTATGCTGTAATCATCAAAAGATGACTATAATTTAGAACTATTCACTATATATCGCTGATATTGATATCTACAAAAAGGTTTATTAAAAAAATATATCTATTTTTTTTTATTTTACTTTAAACCAGACATGTCAAACACAAGGCCTGAGGGCCGGATGTGGCCCACGAAGTGGTTTCATGTGGCTTGCAAAGCTATCCTGGAAACAGTGAGGGAACGGCCCCCTCTGCCTTGGCCCTAGCCCAGGTTGGCCAGGAACCAATGTACAATTTTGTGATGGCCATCTATGCTGAAATGCATTCAGTCTTAGCTCCAGCTGTCTGGAACCAGCGAGGAACCAGCCCCTGCCGTGTCGCCCCCCCCGGGTGCATGCTGGGGAGGTGTCACCCTTTGTGAGGAATGAAGAAATGCACCATCGCCTGGAAGTGGCCAGCAAATGGCCCTCGCCTACTTCACTATCCGGCTTGATGGGCTCCAGAGGAGGGGTTTCGGCAGGCAGTGGGGCACTCTCCTCACAGCGCTGAGAGGCTGAGCTAGGCGGCACAAATCCAAAAAGAAGTGCGACGTTGCCCAGCCCCCAGCCTGCCCGGTTTCGGCAGACAGCAGGACGCTCTCCTCACAGCATCAAGAGGCTGAGCCGGGTGGCACGAATCTGATGAGAAGTGCAATGTGCCTAGCTCCCAGTCTGCCCAGTTTCAGCAGGCAAGGTGCAAAGCTGGCAAGCTTCGCATCGCCCAGCTCAATCTCTCGGCACTGTGAGGAGAGTACCTCACTGCCTGCCGAAACTGGGCAGGCTGGGAGCTGGGCGGTATTGCGCAGGTAACATTGATTCTCATGCTGCTCATGGCATCCCCTTCCCCAGAGCCTGGGCAGACAGCCCAAGCCAGTTATGTGAAGTAGGTGAGGGCCATGTGCTGGCCACTTCCAGGCGATGGTGCATTTCTTCATTCCGCACGAAGGGTGACACGTCCCCAGCTGCGTTTCTTGCCTGTTTTTCTCATCTCAAATATTTTCCCACCACTCTGTACTTAGGAAGGAAGGAAAGGAGAGGGAGGGTCTGAGGTAAGTCCTGCCTTAGTCCTGCCCTGCTGCCCTTTCACCATCCCCTTGCCTCCTCCTCCTGGCCTATCCTGGGGGTCTCCCATCCTATTGCTAAGAAGCTTTGGATACAAAGCCGGGTCTCCTCCCATGGAGAGGGAATGGCCTCCCTCTGACCTTGCTCTCATACCATCATGAGCAACCTGGCTAAGGAGAGAAAGCACAGCAGCAGCAGCTTTGAGGAGGATGTAAGTGCAGCTGGGCGCCCCCTTGGAGAAGTGGGGCTGGGCTTGGTGCCGCGGTTGCTCGAGGAGCAGGCTGGGCATTTGACCTTTGCTGCCCAGGGCTCCTGGCAGCCCGCACCACCATCCAGCCCCCCGCATAGTCTGAGAGGAACAGTGGGGCTTCTCCAGTGGACCATGCCTTGGCATTTGCCCTGGTCCCACCTCCTTCTGCCAGAGACCCTCAGATCTGTCCCATTACTGCCCAGGCCCCCACAGGCACTCTTGACGCAAAAGATGTAGAGCTGGCCATGCCCACCCAATAGGCCATACCCACTTCATCCATACCCACCCAATAGGCCAAACACACACATCCTCCTAAGGGCAACCGCAATGCTGAATGAAATTGAGTTTGACACCCCTGCTTTAAACTGTCAAGAAAATCTTTCCAAGGTGGGTTATTTCTTAAAAAAACAAAAACAATACAAAATTGCTTTTCTTCACCCATCAAAGGAGAAACACAGAGTTACCAAAAGTCCTGCTGAAGTTTTACCTTATAATTATTCCAGAAAGTGTTTCCATTCCAGACCGATCAATGACTTTTAGTAGGATTCTGGAATTATAACTAACATAATTATAATTCCAATTGCTTATAATGAATAGTTATTGGAATTACACAACCTTGATACTTGAGAGGTTTTTCTCTACTCTTTTTTTTTCCTTTCATGACTTGTCTTTTTTAGATTGCTAGGTCTGACAGCAAGTTCTATCTTGCCTTTGTTGATCTGTACATTTGTCTGAGGTTCTACATAACTTAGGAGCAGGGCACAAATGTTCTGAAAATGGAATTTCATATCCTTATCAAGCACTTAAACCAGTTTAAACAAAACACAAGGTCTGTCTTTGAAGTAGAAAAGGCCCAAATACTTGACAAATAATAAAATCAGCATTATTTTCCTTGGGGGGGGGGAGTGACCATAAGAACTAGGAATGATTACTCCAGGCTATGCAAAAAGTATGGAATTCTTACTGAAACAGTTAGGAGGAGGAAGAGGGATGCAAATAAATTATCCCAACTTAGTCAACAGAAAGAGCCTCGGAGTCTGTGCAGAGTCCCATTATAGAAAACCTTAGGAATCCCATTAGAAGCACATTACTGCTGAAAGGTTGTTTACTAGGCCCATGATAATGGAACTGTGAATATTTGAGTGTTATGCAATATTAAGACTACAGTTTAACTGCTCGACTACAGTTTAACAGGCTATTTTTCATTCAACAACAAGCAGTTTTTAACCCATCACGTGCATGGCTTATTTTAACAACTCTCCTCCCACGCTGTACTCGGGAAAAAGGAAAGTCCCTCTATAGCTCACTCCTCCCCGAGTGTTTATAATTGTTCACCCAACCTGGCACCCTGCAGCTGGGTTGAATCCCAAGCCCTAAAACCTCCACCGTTAACGAATGCTGGCTGGGGATTATGGGCGTCCTAATCCAACACGTTCAGAGACCACCAGTAAAGGGGGTGGGTGGGGGGAAACTGTCACATAAGCACAGGCACAGGAGAAAACCCTCTTTGAGAGCAGAGAGATCGGCGAGCCAACTCATGATTTGCAGCCCGAGGACCCCTTTAAGGCGTCTTCCTCCCCACAGGCAAGAAAGACCAAGGAAGCTGCCGCCAAAGTACAGCCAAGGAGCCGGAAGGATGAGGCGGCGCAGAGGAGGCGCGGCCAGTATGTTTACCACGGAAAAGCGGAGGGGAGGGGTGGTGGTTTGAGAATCCTTCCTCACCTCCTCGAGCCAACAGCTCCCCGGCTCAAAATGGATGCGGAGCCCTTTCTCCCACCCGACCATCCCTCCTGCCTTGGTCCGTAGGCGCCGCCGCCACCCGCGTTCAGCTGGACTGTGGAGGCGGCTGTCGCGCCCAAAGTCCCACCCCTGTCCTCCAGCCGCGCCGCTGATTGGTCCTTTCCTCCGTGGGAGGCGGGGATCAGAGAGAGCGCCTCACTGCGGACGTGCGAACGGCGTGCGCTATGGCGGGAGGGGCAAGGCGGCTCAATCCAGCTGTTCCGTCTTGCGAAAGGCTTTCCTGGCTTGTTTGAGGGCTGATTAACTTTCACTCCCCACAGTATATATCCTTTAGAAACCCACCTTCGAGAAAGCAGCCGGGGGCCGCCCTTTGTACATTTTCCTATCGCGGAAATATTTAGAGCCGCAGGGCAAAAAAAAATACATGAAAACATCCTGACCCCGCCTCCCCATGAATTGAATTTCTTCTTGTTCTTTGCCTCAAAACACTTCTTAGTCAGTGTAACGCAAATTCAGATTCAAACTTCAACATGTTGAAAACATATATCACATCCAGTCCTGGACAGATCCTTACCAACAGAGCTTCTTGTTGGTCCTTATGGGAATACAATAAGTTAGTAATAAATTTTAGTTTTTAGCATCATCAGCATTGTGAAAATAAAGAATTTCCCCAGGGTAGTCAAACTGAGGATGGGGAAAAAGTTGCCTTATTTGTTTTGCTGATGGAAGCTGTTTGATTAGCAGGAAGAAGTAACCAAAAAGCAACGTCTCTTCTGCCATCAATTATTAATAAGAATTTTCTTTTGTGTTTGTTCTTTCCATAGAATAAGACATAGATAAGAAATAGGAAATTAAAGAACATAACAGTTACATATCTTAAGATTAAAATACAATTCAGGAAAGCTAGTAATTGCGAGTCTCACAAATTCCTTTTAATAAAAAGATAAGCCAACAATAAAATCAATAACTACAAGCTAATAAAAATAATCTTTAAAATCAGAATCATACATGATGTATTTCAATTCAGAAGCAAAAAAACCCAATTAACATAGTAATTTAAAAAAATATGAATTGCATAATGTTTGAAGACTAAGTACTTCCACAACTATGAGCTATTTATGATCATTGAAGCAACTGTTTCAATTTCTAAAATATTCAGGAAATTCAGGAAAGCAGCTAGTAATTGTGAGTCTCACAAATTCCTTTTGATAAAAAGATAAGCCACAATAAATTCAATAACTACAAGCTAATACAAATAATCTTTAAAATCAGAATCATACATGATGTATTTCAATTCAGAAGCAAAAAAAACCCCAATTAACATAATTAAAAGAATGAATTGCATAATGCTTGAAGACTAAGTGCTTCCACAACTATGAGCTATTTATGATAATTGAAGTAACTGTTTCAATTTCTAAAATATTATACAAAAGTCAGAGTTTAACTATGTAACATTGTGTATGTATGCATATAAAGAAGTTTCACTTAGGTCTTGTGTACTGATTCGGCTATAAAAATTACTAGGCTTTTATTTAAATGTTTGATAATTGTGCCCTATTGATATTTTTAGAATTGCTGTGGCCATTTGTATTTTAGACAGTTTAAAAGTACTAATTACTTGCTTTATTAAAATATATTTAAAGACAATTTTCTATTATAGAAATATAGATTGGAGCACACAAGGCAGTAGACAATACTTTCTTGGAAAGATAAATCTCTCAAGTGTGAATTTGTTCTTCATCAGTGTAGAACAGGTTGATTTTTGTTTCTGTTGCCTGTTAAATAAATAAGAGAAGAAGTTGATTGAAATTATTATTTTTGAATTACAGAAGTTTTAGTATTCATTACATTTCTGATCTGTTCAATAACTGGAATTATTGCCACCAATTAGTTAATTAAGCATCAATAAAACAATAAATGCGTTGATAGTGCTGAAAAGAATACACATATTAAAGCTACTCTGCTGGTTGATGTATATATCAAACTAATTCCCCAGGCCCAAGTTGTTAATATTTATGGAAGATACTTGAAAGTACTCACTTTCTTTAAAAGGTGTTTTGGGAGCAACATTTTCCTTGCTAGGATGCTGAAAAGCTTTAGAAGGATCAAACCGTTTAATACCCTGAATTTCATTAATTTGATCTTGGAGCTCTCCCCTTGTTTGTTTTTCCTTTGCTACTTGGGAACGCAACTTTAATAATTCCTAAAAGAAAAAAAATCCCAATGCAAGATGAATTCCAGATATTACAAACATGACAATTTATGTCCCCCAATCAATCCCACCAAAAAGATGAGTGATATTGTTTATGATAGACATGTCAAACTCGCAAACGTCACATGACATCGCGTGACGTATCAGAACTTTTTCCCCATTGCCGGCAATGAGGTGGGTGCAGTTTCATCGTACATTGTATGGTCTATATAGTATGAGACGGTTTTTAATTATCACTTCTACCCTTCCTAATTCTAATCCACAGTTTCAGGCATATATTACAAAGTGTTCAAATTCCTGATGGATGAATGGCCTATCCCTTGTTTTTGCTTTTATTCTCCTTCAGCTAGTAAGTATCATGGCTAGTGTTTGATGATTAATTTGAGGAATATGTTCTTTTTCCTCCCATAAATGTTGCTAGCTGCTGTCCTTGATCCCCATTTTTCTACTCACTTCTACCAACTATGGGTCTTATCACCACTAAAGTTCCATGAATGTTGGCTTTTACTCCCTGCTAATTGATGGGGATGAAAGAATCTCTATCTTTAACTTGTTTGATTGTTTCATGGCTGTTTAATATATAGTTGTTTGTGGGGGAAATTGCACGCAGCAAACTGCCATGCTTCCCCCCCCCCCCCCAACAAACCTCATAACCTTTTAATACCCTTTGTCCCAATGAAGCAGCCAGGTCATCCCCTTTTGACTTAATACCTCACCTACCTAAATAGATAATATGCTTAAGTTACTTCCTATCTCTTCCTGCCTTTGTTAGTTCTTTCTCCTTTTGATCTATCTGTATTTGTTTTTACCTGATCTCTGATCAGGTAATACAGTATGTTACTAGAAAATAGTTGCTTATACGAAGGAATTTTCCAATGAAGAAACTTTATGTCAGCATCTAATGGTTAAACTTATGAATGTAAAATGTCAGCATTTAATGATAAAAGCCTATGTATGTAAAAAGTATATAAAAACCAATAAACACACAGAGACTCTCAAGCTGTCTCAAGCTGTGACAAGCAGCTCTGTAGCAGCTTCAAATCTCTGCTCAAGACATGCCTGAGTCTTTTTCTTAGCGTCTTTACAGTTGTTAAATTATATATTAGCAATCCTGGTAGCATAATAGTTAGAATGCATTATTGCAGGCTAACTCTGCCCAATCTGGAGTTCAATCCTGATGGGTCTTAAAGTTGACTCAGCCTTTCATCCTTCTGAGGTTGATAAAATGAGGACCCAGATTGTTGCGGGCAATATGCTGACATTGTAAAACTATGGGGCGGTATATTATTTTAAATGCTGTTCCTAAGTGCTATTGCTAAATAAACATTCTTTACTCACAAAGATAGCAATTTGATAGCATATTTTGAGTTTCTCCCCACCTTAACAGACACATGCAGAGGCACCTTGGTTATTTACATATCCTTTGATATTTCTGTCTCTATCACAGATAAATATAAATCTGTGACCTTCATAGAGTAGCACAGACCTGTTTTAGCTGAGTGTTCTCTTCTTTCAGTTTCATTACATGTTTGATCTTCTGCTTCTGATTCTGATGGCCTAGCAGCTTAGCATAAGCATCACTAATTTTGTTCAGTTCTTCTTGGGTTGCACCATGCTCATTTAGAAGAGCATTTTTCTCTGCCTCATATGCATCTAACTGTTGCTGAAATGCAAAGTAAAACATATGTTGAATCATAGATGACCAGCAAATCTCAAGGGATGTCCCTGTTTGACTTAACAGAATCCACAAGAATGAGAGGGGATGATCCCTTTCTCAGTTATGCCACGTCCTTCACTGTTCAGAAAGGTCCTCCAATCCCCATCTGGTACAATTACCAATGATATAGGAAGAATTACTTTTCTGCCCATGCTTGTGATGAAAAATTGTTCTACCATCAGACTATACTTATGTTTAAATAATAATAATAACTGGAGAAGACACGAACACCTTCAAATAGACATAGAATGACTGTGGCAAAGAAAGTAAAGGTAGTACCAATAGTAAATAGGCTACTTGAGCACAATCCTAGAACAACTGGAGCACCACTTGATTATCTTTGTTCAAGTAGTGTCACCACAAAATTACCATCAGTCAATTGCAAAAGGCAGCTTTACATAGAACAGTTTACATCCTGTGATACCTTTAACATTATCAATCAACATCTGCCTATTCCATGCCTTTGGAAATGATTTGATAGGTGGATAAAAATGCCAAATCCAGACTGAACATCTGATTGACTGTGCAACTACTGTATAATAACTAATTCACTGCAAGTGCCATCCATCAATACAGGGTATTTCTTATATTAAAACTATGGGAGCATCTAAAGACATAGTTAAAAATCCAGGTTGATTTTGGAGTTCCAAAATAGTAAATTATCAAAAACTGCCCAAGCCCATCAGTGCTTATTAAGGACTAACCTGAAAAGGTTTTACTTTATTATATAGGTCTTCATAGAGCACACGCCAAGTTTTTATATTTTTTTTGTAATCTGCTCCTATTTTTTCTGTAATGGTTTTCCTAGAAATAAAAAAATATTGGAAATGCAATTAAGTCTTCTAAATATCTCTATTTATGTAGACAGCCATTCTCTCTGGGACCATATTCTTTTAGAGCACCACATCCTAATGGATGGGATAACACAATGTTTTCCCTTTTGGAGGTTTTTTTCATTTAATTAATATATTTATATTTTTCTTTATACCGTATTTCCCCCAAAATAAGACCCGGTCTTATATTTTTTTTGCCTCCAAAAGAAGCATTAGGTCTTATTTGGGAGGGGAGGTGTTTCCACTGTTTCATCTCACGGCGGCAGCACCAACAACCCCATCCAAAAGGAGTCCACGTGGTTTCCGCTGGCCCCACTATTTCTGTGGCTGCCCGCCACTGCTTGCACGCATCACCCCCGGCTGCCTTTTTGCTGGCA